CGCAACAAACCTGGCGCAACTTCCAGCAGCCTCAGTACAGGATGCTTGTGGGGTTGCTTGTGACCCCTCCATCCTGGCAGAGATTGTAATGAAGGATTTGGGGTAAGACAATGGGAATAGTAGTATAACGGAGGGGAGGCAACCAGGGCAAATGCACTGTTATGCCTCTGAATGGAAATGTGGACAAGGCCCTGCATAGCTTTAGGCAAATCCTGGAGGCTGGACTAGCACCATTGGCACAGAGTGGCTACATGCTAAGAAACAAAAGGTAAGAAGTCAGAGGCAGAGTTGTAAAGATTGAGCTTAGGAAGCTCGAATTAGTGTGGTGAAGAAGAGAGGAAAGGATAAGTGTGCAGATAATGGGGTGATATGGCTGGAATGACAGGCGAGAGAGTATCTCGGTTGTAGTGTTTGAATATCCTGAGGATTTCAGTGTGGATGTTGGGGGCCAGGGAGGGCATGGATTTTGGTCGGGTGACTAGGAAGATCATTACAGAGGAGGACATATTAAACTGAGTGTCTTGTGACCTTACTAGAGGTTATTGCTTACCTCCCCTTGGATTAATGATTTCTGCATATCACAAGAGCACGGCGCGAAAATGTACTACATCTTCACAATAGCAACTTCAGTGTATATCATAAAATAGAGCTGTGAAAATGGGCCATGAAAAGAAACTGGGGGGAAAGAGGAATATTTGTTCCTGAGGGAATTTCGGAGAGACTCCAGTCACGGGAAGGATGACTACTGTGGATCGTTCAAACTGCAGAATGTTTTAAAATGTACCTTTTTGAACACGTTCATGTATGCTTCTCTCTCTCTCTCTCTTTAAGGTCTATCTTCCTCTTCTGGAAAGATACGCAGATCTTGAACAAAAGGTGCTCTGCAATCCAACCTCATCTGGTTAAATAACAAAGAAAAATCTACCGCTCGCCTGTGGAGATGCCTGCCGAGAAGATTGTAAAAAAGTTTATCAGAAATGACTGGATTTGTTTAAGCCAGTCTTCCGTGCTGCATACCTGAAACATAGTCTAATTAATACAAATCAAAATGGTTATTTTTAAAGTTGGCAATGGAAAGATTCTGAAAGATTTACATCTTCCTTGAATCCGTTCGGGTGGTTGTGTGCATTGTCCGGTTCCTTTCAGAACGGCGCTGAGCATGTTGTTTTCTCTGGATAATTCTGCCAATCTGTCTGTCCATCTCTCTCTGTTGGCACATCTCCCTACTTTGAGTGTCTGTATCTCATCTTCCCTGGGCCTGCCTGTTTGTATATCTGTTTTTCTACTGTATCTTTTTCTTTCAACCTATCAATGTTATCTGTACCTTTTCTCCCCCTCTCTCTCTCTGTCATAACCGTCTTTCTGTATATCTGTCTGTTATATTTATACCAGTGTTCACTTAACATAAAGTCCACAGAAAATAACTGCTGTTGGATTTTCTTGGCCCTTTTTTTTTAAAATAGGAGCTTTATGTGTTATAAAGATGGATACATATATATGAAAATCCTGTGTGGGATCCCCAAAGGAACAAGTCCCTTATTAGGTGGTGGTATGGCGAGTCTACTTGGATCAAGATGGAACATCACATGCAGACTTTTGGGGTTGCATGTATATAATGTGGAAACTTCCTTGTGGGCTGATTATGGTATTTGGGATGCCATTATCACTTCTGTACTGGGTGGCATGTGACATTAGAGCTTCCTAAAGGGGGTGGGGGGAAAGGGGGAGGGAATAGGAGAGAAGATGTTTAAATAAAGTGAAACCTTATGAACAATGTTTCCCCCTCCTCGCTTTTGGGGAAAGTAGAGAGGGATAGTTTTTGCTGCTCACTGGCTTTAGAGAATGTTGCTTACCTGCTGCCTCTATTTTGGATATCCTGGCTGTAGAGCTGTGCTTGCTATTCTGTGCGTTTAAGTATAGTAAAGGGTCACACTTGGAACATCCTATCAGACCATGAAGATGGCCCCTACATTCAACAAGCCTTTCCCCTTTTTTTGATGACACCAAGCAAAATCAGTGAGTTGCCTTGCTCTGGCTTTACTCTTGTGCTAGTGAAATACGAAATCCAAGAAACCTTGCTGAGACGGTCTTCTTCTAAAACAACAGATGTTTCTGCAAGAGATGGGCATAAGCCAGAGAATTGGATTTTGAATACCTGTTACCTTTGCAGAGCAAGAACTTTATGCTTGTATATGATTCCTACTGCAGCAATGAGGCTTTTGCATACTACAATGATATGTAAAAGCCACATTAAAGAACTGTTCGGGTTGCAAAGCTGACGCTTCCAAGTTGGGAAATCTTAAAAATAAAGTTGCCTGTACAGCTTTAATTCAGCTCTCTTGTGCATATGCACTAGGACAACCTTTAACAACAGGACCACGTGATATTTCTTCTCTCCTTGCAGAAGTTAGGAGGTATGTAATGGGTGAGATGGGGATTTGCACAAAAAGAAAGGATGGCCACATGCTTAAGGCAATTGAATACTGCCGTGAAGAACTGGATTCTCTCCATCACGCTGATTTTGGGCAGGTCGTGTCAACCAACTTCCATCATGTGACAACATATTGATATCCACATTGTGATTGACAGGGAGGAGCCTTTATATTCATTGCACAAAACTGCCACTTGAGGTAATAAGGAACTAGTAGCAGTAGCTGGCCTTTTTCTGAATGGGCCTGGAAAGATGGCATGTTTACACTGGCACTGTCAGCTGCCCTGAACCTTTTTGACGAGGGCTACATAGAAATCAAATAAATAAATATAATTGGATTTTACACCAGTGGAAAAATGGAGTAGAGGGATGATATAATTTTCTACACTGGTATCTTTGCCCAATCTAATATAGAATCAGAGCTAAAACTACAGTGGTGTAAGTAACACTGGTATAGGTATTGTCTGTTTACAGCTTATTCCGAGATAGCTGTGTAGTAATAGCATCTATTTCCTGCAGCTGCACTGGGATAACTGTTCATGTCTACTCCAGAGCCCAGTTTTATTTACATTGATTTACAATGTGGATACATTGAGTTACACTGGTGAAAAATGTGTCTCTTACAGGATCTCTGTGGGTCAGCACTGAATAGGGATGGGACACTTTGCAGGGGGTATTACAGATATTAGCTGACTGAGAAATGTTGAGACCCAGGGATCTTGGGTTCTGTCATAAGCTTGGCGGGGTCATGGACACAGACTCTTCTGCCCTTTCCTCTCCACCCAGAAATGATCCCTCCAGGCCTGACCTCTCTTACTTGATCTCCTTCCAGACCTGCCTCTTCCCATTTCTGGCTCCTTGTCTCAGTCCTAGTTTCATCACCTAGCTTCCAGGCTTGTCAAACCAATCCTATCATGTTCTCCCCCAGGCTTCTCATCCAGTCTCCATCTCACTGTTCAGTTCCTTGCTCCAGTCTCTTTTCTAAGCCAGTGCCATTTCTTCCCTACCTTTTCATCAGATTAATCTCCCCCTCCTCCTCAACTGCTTCCCCACCTCAGTCCCAGCCTCCATGACTGTTTATCAGATCCCAGTTCTGGTCGCCATTACTTCCCTAGTTTCCAGTCCCAGGCTCTTTGGCCCACCAGTGCCAGCCCAAAGTTTCCCTTTCTCACTCTGGCTTCCTATGCCCATGTGCACAAGGTCTGATACCCTCTGCATTTGAATCAGATATCTTCACACTGCCTGTTCCCATCGGGGAGGGCTGCCAAGAGCGTACTAGATGCAGTCTTTTTGCTCTCGATTCAGATGCCAGGACCTGGCTTCTTTTGTAGCAGCCCGGAGCTGTAATGGCAGAGGGAGTACTCTGTCCTGGCCTGGAGCATGTCCAACGCAAACAGGATGTTTGAGGAATTTAGCTGGTAAAATCCAAGACGTTTCTATTGAGCACATATGAATTGGGAAGTTGAGAAGGCTTCTACTGGCTAGATTTGAATGGTTTCTCTCAAAAACTGTATCCATGGTGCACAGGTCACCACCCTCTGACAAATGGCAAGTTCTTCCCCCAAAGTATGGGAATGGCAGAGCTGGAGAAAAAGGCACTGGAATTTTTTAGCATTGGGCATAAAACAGTGCACTTTCCCTTTGCTGCCTTCTGCAAAACAGCTGGACCCTTTGGGCTGAAAGTTTTATCCAAAACCAGGACCTAGAAGTGCAAACCCAGCCAAGAAAATTTCTGCTCAAATGGTTACAGATCATAATCAACTGAAAACCGGATGTTATCTAAGGAAGTATTGGACACCTTCACCTATAATTAACTAATCATCACCCATCTATCCTGTGCCAAGCCATTAAACTGAACAGCTCTGAACTCTGGACTTGGAGCTGGAGCTTTTCCAAACATTGTGACTTGAGCTCTTTTCTAGCATCTCAGGCCAGGATCCAGGACAGTGCTTAAGCATCCTTATGGAAGACAGCTCTTCAGCATGTATTTAGCATTAAGCACACGCTTGCATTTCATTTGGTTCAGCGCACGTGTAAGTGCACTCCTGAATTAAGGATGTTTGGGGCCTTTGTTAATAATGGTTAGTAAAAGGGGTAGGAGAAGATTACACTGAAGGGCCTGACTTTTGTACGGAGCAACATCAATGAAATGTTGCCCGCTGCACATTACAAACAAATGCTTCTGTTCCGTTCATCTGGATGAGGGCTGCTGAGCCACCTTTAATTAGCTGGGCTATCACTGGTGCTCAAATGCTTTATCTGTGAATATGAGCAATGCCCTCTTTGTTCGCGACTGAATAATTATAACGGCCCTTGATATTAACAAGCTTGCTCAGCAAGAGCAGCGTTACAAATCCGTGTTTCAAAAGCAGGGTATGGTATTTTCAGCCATCGCTCTAAAAGGTGGTGTTATCGGTACATGTTTCTTTCTCGCGCTCATTAAGGTCCACTGCTATAACCGGGTGCCACGTCTCACAGCAACAGCCCTTCATTCACTTCCAGCTGTCATTTTGTTATCAAATAGCATTGTAGAGAGGCAGGGAAGAATTGGAAATATTAATTAAACATGAGGAAGCGACATTTCCACAGAGCTTAGAGCCAGGAGGCCTTGGGGCTGTGCCCAGCTCTACCTCTGTGGTAAATCACTACTTCTGTCTCTGAATAGGGGTAGTAACACTTGCTTTGCTTCACTGGGGTATTGTGAAGTTCAGTTTAATGTCTGTGATAATGCCTTAAACTTTGGTATTGGAGAGAGCTTTATGGGGTGGCAAAGGTATATGTGGAATACATAAATATAGGCACCAAATATAGTATTTCTAAGCAGCTCGTGAAAAGGAATACTTTGTGCAATATTATTGCCGGGTAGTGAGGGACTGGCATGTAAAGTACGTCACCAGTACTAAAAATAGGTAGTGCCGATGTTACTGGCTGCAACGTGGGGATGGTGAGGCCGTCTGTGTCGATTCCTAATTACTATTTTACCTAGGACAATGGTTGCATTGCCGGCTTACTGCTGGAGGCTTTGGCCAGGAGAGCTGGGAAAGACTGAGTTGAGCACTATTGAATTATAGTATTGCTGTGGTGATAGCTTTATTAGGGGTGGCCTCTAAGGATTGGTGTCTGGAGTATAAGAATGTATAGACAAACTCTTTTCACCTCACCAAAGTCCCACATAGTCACTGAGTAGTATCAGATAGAATAAGACGTAATAAATCTCTTTAAAAAAAAGTCCTTTAAAGAAATGCTCTTGTAAGGCTTTATCCACCCTTTTGCTTTCCTTTCCTTGGGTGTGCAGACTGATCTGAACTCAGAGGTCTTAGAGTACACTCCCTTGCGTCCATCCTCAAAACCTAGCAACTCAGGGGTCTCAAGCCTTTGTAGACTGTATGCGACTTTCCAACCAGCTTTACTATCATATGTTACTCAGGCTTGTTGTTCGCTGCAGTAGGAAAGGGGTCAGTGTTAGATCACAGGTTACCTAATTAGGAGATAGAGCAGGCTGGCTTCTCAGAAAGTTAACTGGTTCAAATGTATTATGATCTTCTGTAGGTGAGAACCTACTTCATCAGATACCATTTGAGGAGACCCACAACCTTTTCCTTAGTCTAGATTCTTCTTCAGTTCATTTGGTTGAGGCTGACCCAAGGTTCTCTCTGCCCCTGAACAGTAACCTTCATGAGTTTGCTTAGTGGCAATAAATCTACATTGAAAGTGGTAATACATTTAGCCAGCATGCTTAAATAACTCTTCCCCAAACACTGACCTCTTCTAATCTAGACAAATCCACTAAGTCTTGTCTTGAAGACTGATCCTACCCAACGGAACCACAGTTTGATTTGCGGGCAATACAAGGAATGACCCAAGCTGCAGCCATACTCTTTAGCAAGATAGCCTGTAGCCCTAATCTCATTCCACCTGAAAAACATTTCATTCTTCAATGCGCTCTTATTGCTACCCACAACCCATGAAAAACTTGTCTTTTTAGGTTAAAGCT